CCCCCCCCCCCCCCGCGGTTTGAGAAAATGTCAAATACGCCAAAAGGTGTCCCCCTCGATATAAACGAACACGTCTTTTACCGTTTTTCGAAATTCCAACCCGTTCGCCAGATATTCAAGGTAAAATCTAAGTTCAGACTTGACCATGAAATATGAAAAATGATAAAAGCTAGAAAAGGTAATTTTTTCTTATAGACAAGTTTTTTTTATTTTTTTATACAACGCATGCATACGAAAGTGTTAAAAGTGAACATTTTTATGTAACTATTATATAAGAAAAAGGGTCATCATTTTCGTGAGCTTTTCGCTTGGCGCCCGCTTCGAGAAAAGAACGACCAAAAAAATGAAAATATTTTCATGCCTAACTCTCATTTATCCAATCTCCCTCTGGCCGGAAGCAATTGGACCAATAAGAATAGAATGAAAAAATCGGTATTTATTTCAAACTTCACGCAAAGACCGAAACGAAACGGAGCATTTCGTCGCTTTTGGATAGTCTATAGCATGAGAGCATACCTTCGATTCACTTACCCCACCAACGGACCAAGATTCAACATTTCCCGCTTACTTCAATTTTCCGTTTTTGAAATTCCCGTCATTTTTCATCGGCGGGAATTTCAAATTTTGCCCCCCTTTCTAAACTTTCTGATATCCTCTTATATAAAAAAAAAAACTAATAGGTCCTACTTTCAAATTCTGATTTCAGCGGGCTCATTAGAGACTATCGGTGCGGTGGCGTTTGCGGACGTGGCGTTTGCGAATTCTAAGAATCGGGTGGCGTTTCCGGATTCTCATATTTTGACGGTGGCGATTGCGGACCGGCGGAATAGGGCCGGTGGACTTTGCGGACCAGAGAATTTCGGCGGTGGCGATTGCGGACGGAGGGGTAGGCACCTACATATGCAGCCCCCCACCCCTGCGCTGTATATTAAAGAGATAAATTACCTACCGGAGAGGTTCTGGATTCCTTTCCGTGGATGTAGAATGAAAAAAATATTAGTATTAAACATTAGTATTATATCAGTATAAAAACATATAAGCAGTGATCATACAGTAAATTGTTAAAAAATGCATATCAGAAATCAAGAAACTGAAAAATCGTCAGTTTCAGTCCATTTTTAGGATGAAAAACATGGTGTAAATTCTAGTCCAAAATTACTGAAAGTCAAAAAATTAAAATATGTTTTCATTTTTCGTATGTTATTTTTTGACTTTCAGTAATTTTAGACTAGAATTTACACCATGTTTTTCATCCTAAAAATGGACTGAAACTGACGATTTTTCAGTTTCTTGATTTCTGATATGCCTTTTTTAACAATTTACTGTATGATCACTGCTTATATGTTTTTATACTGATATAATACTAATGTTTAATACTAATATTTTTTTCATTCTACATCCACGGAAAGGAATCCAGAACCTCTCCGGTAGGTAATTTATCTCTTTAATATACAGCGCAGGGGTGGGGGGCTGCATATGTAGGTGCCTACCCCTCCGTCCGCAATCGCCACCGCCGAAATTCTCTGGTCCGCAAAGTCCACCGGCCCTGCTCCGCCTGTCCGCAATCGCCACCGTCAAAATATGAGAATCCGGAAACGCCACCCGATTCTTAGAATCCGCAAACGCCACGTCCGCAAACGTCACCGCACCGGGACTATCACCTGTCGATAACCGCAAAAATAATGGAATTCGGCCCAGCAGAACGCTCAAACGAGCTTTATAAATAAAAATTTACGTTGTTTAAATGGGAAAATTTGCAACTTTACTATGTAATATAAAAAAACCTGGGTCAATGGGTCATGTTTTCAAAATCTGTATAGAGCGGGTCATCAAGAGACAATTGCCTGTCGATAGCCGCAAAAATCATGAAAATCAGCCCGGTAGAACGCTGAAACGAAGCGTTACCAGATACTCAAAAGGAGGTATCGCAACTTATAGTGTAGAAAGTCGGTTTTTGGAATTTTGAAATATTTCGCAGGCAACGCCCCAAGTCATGTTTGCAAATGACAACGCAAATGAAATCGTAATATTTTGCCTGTTTAATTTTGCAGTTCCCTCTGTCTATAGATGGCTGTAGATTCCTATCTTATCTATATAAAGGAATAGAAGCCAAAAAAAAACTCCAAAAAAAAAAAAAAATTTTGCAGTTCAGCTTATTTTTTATACTTCGGAGATCGGAGTGGAAGTAAAAATGCTTACTTTCCTTCTTAGTAAATTCACTTTAAAAAAATAAGTTGTTCTTCAGAAACGGCTGGAGTTGACAAAAGCATCTTGTTTTTTTTTAAAAATTGGGAGGGAAAATTGGCTCTACAAAATGTTGAACCCTGCTGAATTATGAATTCACATTCTAACTCAAATGCGATTTTTTTTTCTTTTAAATCAGGAAATGAAATTTTAAAACAGAGCGTATCATGAGTTGGTTATTTTTGGTCTCTTTTTGGGTCCAATTCTGGCTTAAACATGGGTCTTGCAACCAATTTTGGAGAAAAACGCTCTTGCGGGTTTACGGTAGAATGCCGAAGATCCGGATTTTTTGGGCCAAATTTGGCTTTCAGACTTAAGTTTAGGCTAGTATTAGACCTGGGATCCGATATGGCCAAATTATGATGCATTTCGTAAAACCTAGACCTTCAACGAGCCAAAAGCAGAAAGTTGTGGAAAATCAGCTAGGGTTAGCCCAAAAACGACCCGATATCCGTCATTTTAAACAAGAAAAAGTACTCGCAAAAAATTTCCTATACGTGGTGGACAAGGAGCTCCGTTGCTTATGAAGACGAGGTAAACTGGGACTCATAGCAATTTTGTACTTTCAGTTTTATTGTTTACATTTAATCTATCGAAATGCTATGCGTTGAACATCGTTGGAGTGAAGTAGGAACCAAATCAGTCAATATAATGATCGACGAAATGTCAACTGGGACCGGAACTGGCCCAAGATAGCCCCGGGACCGACGATGACCGACATAACGCGATGCGCAGTCCTCGAAAAGTGCGAAAGAATAGTTTTTATAACGAGTCAGCCTTGACTAACGACTGAACACATGTAAAGATTGCCGCTTTTACTCCTTTTCTCTGTCTTGAAGCATTTGGTTATGAAGAGCCCAAGCCACTGATGTAGGTATTTAGTTTAGGTCCTGTCGCTCATTTCTGTAACAGAGGATGAACTGACGATATAAAATATTTAAAGTCTGAGGTGGTTCTTTAGCACTTGGCAGAACCTTTCGATAGTCGATGAGGATTTAATAATGTTAAACTATGGGACAATTCTTAAATCATTTCGAACATCATTTAAGCTGTACTTATTGTGATGGTCTAGAGATAGAAAGTGAAATTTCAAAAAGGTTGAATATAAATTCCTTAAAAGTGGAAGTGTTCGATGTCTTTTTAGAATGATATGAACCCTCAGTCCGGAAACTTTTTAAATGGTGTGTTTGGTGATGCGGCAGTAGCAATGTTATGCTTCACTAATACGACGTTTTGCATAAACGAGAGGGCACAGAGATGGAGCGAGTAAAATTTCATGGACAGAAATCTCATGTAAAATTTCATGAAATTTCAAGACGCTCAAATACACATCACAAAAGGGGTACGTGCAAAACGGGCTATTTCACGCTCGTGTCGGATACCATTGAAACTTGCCCTATTCATTCATTTAACAATGCCCTATATTTTCCCAAAGTTTCAAGTCCCCAAAATATTTTGGGGGGAAGTGGCGGGAGGTCAAAGTTGAAAATCCGCTAAATTTTCGCGAATTTTTTACTAAGAAACTACTAAATATTTCGAAACGCGGTTTAAACGAGCGTTTTTAGCGTGAAAAGAGCTTTCAGAAAATGTATAATATCATAGGGTTTTGTCGACTTAAACTCGTGTTATAGCCTCCGAAGCGCCGGAACGCTATAAAATGACCCGCTTTTTTGTCACGTTCGGGCCGATCCCCAACATACTCCATTTTTAATTTCTTTGAAAAACTGATATGTTGTTCCTGACTCTCTATGGCACCGATATGTCTTTACCGTATCCTGGGGAAACGTTTTGTTCGCGAGTTATAAGCGCGGAAAGGAGCGAAGGTCGGGAAAATTGGCTTTTTTAAACTGCGTGCGGCGACGGATCAGGAGACATGTGGCGCAACAATGCGAGGTCGGCAGAGGAGTGTGATTCGCCGAACTGAGCAGAAGAGGGCGTTCTCCTTCTAACCCATGCGACGCGCGCAGTTCATAATAGCCGATTTTCCCGACCTTCGCTCCTTTCCGCACTTATAACTCGCGAACAAAAATTTTCCCCAGGATACGGTAAAGACATATCAGTGCCATAGAGAGTCAGGAACAACATATCAGTTTTTCAAAGACATTAAAGATGGAGTATGTTGGGGATCGGCCCGAACGTGACAAAAAAGCGGGTCATTTTATAGCGTTCCGGCGCTTCGGAGGCTATAACACGAGTTTAAGTCGACAAAACCCTATGATATTATACATTTTCTGAAAGCTCTTTTTACGCTGAAAACGCTCGTTTAAACCGCGATTCAAAATATTTAGTAGTATTCGAGTAAACAACTCGCGAAAATTTAGCAGATTTTCAACTTTGACCCCCCCCCCTACCCCCCAAAATTTTTTGGGGACTTGAAACTTTGGGAAAACATAGGGCATTGTTAAATGAATGAATAGGGCAAGTTTCAATGGTATCCGACACGAGCGGGAAATGGCCCGTTTTGCACGTACCCCTTTGAAAATGTTTAATTTTTTTTTTTTGGTTGAATTGTTGGTACCTATAGTTATTCCGCAGAAGTCCGGAAGTGTTTCAGATCTACCTGATAAAGGTCTTGATGTAGGTCAGTTAATGATTGCGTCGACTTACCCGCTCGGGCAGCTGGAGTTAAAGGCTTGCTTCTTTCCTTTGAATCGTGGCGACAACATTACTGCCACAAAAAGGAGTTATCCCACCATTATTTTCCCATTTCTTCAAAACGATTGTGCTGCGAAAATTAGCCCCGAAATTCTCAGGAAATGTGTTTGTGACAAACGACGTAGAAACCGACGCAATTTTTCTCAATTCAATTAAATAAAACGTGGGTAATTTCAATGCATGTGTATGGCAAGGTATACCCTTCAGACGCTTTTGGAGGACAAAACTTTCCTTTCCCCGACGATAAGAGCTTTTTCTTATCAGTTTTTGATAAAACATATAATGCTTAAATCGATGAAAATGATTGTACACTAAATTCTGCTCTTTTACTATCAGTTTTAAGCAAAACAATAAAAGTTTAAAATAAACCGCGCTACGCGCCGTTTTATTAAGGGTGTTTCCCCCCCCCCCCCCGATGCGCGCGGGCGTTTTTTCGTTTGAGTGTCCACTGTCCGGCCTCAGATGTTCTGTCTTTTTAAGCGACTCGCGCGTCCATCGCGGGAAGAGTGCATTTTCCTAAGGGAGGGGGGGAGGACAAACTTTTGAGGTTATATTTAGGTACGTTGTCCTGTTGGAGGAATTAATTATTCGAAGGAGTTCATGTCGCCAGATTGCAATAAAAATCCCTCATGTAATGTCAGATGTGGGCCGTCCATTAATTACGTAAGGTTCTTAGGGGGAGGGAGAGGGAGCTCAAACAGCCTTACGGCGCCTTACGAGAGGGGGGGATTTAGGGCTGAGCCTAACGTTAGATTTCCATCCTAAATTAATGGAAATGCGACAATCCATTTTTCGTCCGGTTGATAATAAAATTCAAGATGAAATAGAGGAAATCAGAACATCACATAGGTAGGTACTGATTGCTGACCGATCAGACCAGGCACCTCTCATTCACGTATTTTTGTCTGTTGACCTGATTGTATCATTAATAGTTCCTATAAACTTACCTCCAAAATTTAGTTTCACTAATAAAAATGTTGGCCTAAAAATAATTTAATGTTTTTCTAAAAGAAAACGTAATGCTTAGATCTGCGATAATCTAAAAAAAGGGGGGGGTGTCAGTCGAACCTTACGTAATTTGTAGAAGGGGGGAGGGTAAGGGATGCTTTACGGTGCCTTACGAGGAGGAAGGAGGGGTCTAAAAATGGGGAAAAGTTCCTTAGGTACGTAATTTATGGAAGGCCCCATACAAAAAAATTTCAACAAACAATGAGTCAAGCTTGAATGACAATGGCAGAATCTCCGTGGCCCACTGTGCGACAACATTGCCATCGTGTCCACCAATTTTCAGTCCGTGACCCACTATGCGGCTCCGCTCCCCTCTTGCCACGCAGCCCCCGTCTAAAACTTTCAGAGCTCGCCATTTTTAAACGGCTCGGCCGATTTCGTTCAAACTCAATAGTAGCCTAGTAAGTACTACGTAAGATCTTCCTCCTGTAAATATGTTGGAGGAAAGTCTTCGGATGACCACAAAATTGAACCTCCACCACTTCTTGCCCTCACTATTCGGAATCTAATACTTCGATCTCCACGGTTTTTTCGCAGAATGCTTGTCCGGCTCCTTTAGGTACTTTACATCGCAAGATGGAAATTTTCACAAGGGCGCAACGCGGCGGAAAGTTGAGCCTCATAATAGGTAACAGTTAAAATTTGCTACGTTTCACTTGAGGTTCAATTGGTATGGGTTCAGCATGATCTGACATCTGATGAACATCAATTGATCCAAATAGAAATTCAATAGACGTCACCCTGGTAAAAATGATCAGTTGACGGTGTATCAGTTTGTCAACGGTGTTTTGGCGCGGAGCATCAGTAGACATCAATTGAGATCGGGTCAGTTGATGGCTTCAACTGATCTAAACTGATAAGTGGTAGCAGTTAGAAGTATCAACAGATCTGAAATGATACTTGGTATCAGTTGGTACTATGAATCAACTGATACGACATAAATTTAAAACGCATTATCTGCTTGTGTAATTTTACGTATTTTTTTCAGTTTCTCACGTTTACTTCACGAAATGACGACCAGAGAGCGCTGCTGGGAATTTCCGTTCTCGAATTTCTGACAGGTGGCTTAGCAGGCTGCGCTCATTCCCAAACGGTCTCCCATCTAAGTACTAACCACGCTCGGCGTGACTTAACTTTGGTGATCGTCCATGAGACAGAGCCACTACTCCATCCGCGCATGCGATCAGAATGGACGTATTTTTGCCATTTCAGGGCCCTCACTAGAATCATTTTGACAGAAAGTGATGATGTTGTGTTGAATTTGAATCTACACTTAATCTTTTCATTTTATTTTTTAATCACTTAAAATGTAAGTGAAGTTTCACAAGTTATGTTTCCTTAAAGATGAGACTAAGAAACACAAAATGCTAAACCAAAAATTATAATTAAAGATGTAAAAAAAAAGATGAAATGATGAAAAATCAATAATCGACTTATAAGAAATTGAAAATAATCATGAAAAAAATTTGAAAAAAATTTATTAAATCTTTATTGCGAGGGGGTTAAAAAAATTTCATTTAATACTTATATGAATTTAATGTGAAAAAAATAATTGATCAAGGTAATTTTATGTGTTTTCGTCACATTCTTATCATGTAATTTTTAAGTGTAAATTATGGAAAAAAATATTTTCGAGTGGCGAGCGTAGAAGAAATTAATATGTCTCTATATGAATTTTCAGTTAAGAATAAAGATGATCGAGATAATTTTTATGAGTGTTTTTCCAGGTTCTTTTTGCGTAGTGATAAAAATTATGTTTAAAAAAGTCTCAAGTTGTCGCCGGTAAAAAAAAATCATTTACTTGAATTCATGTAAATTTTATATGAAAAATGTTTAGTCTCGCGAAATCACGTCTTTTTTCTTTTTAAATTTTTTGATATGAATTTGAAATGAAATTCATGTAAACACTCGATTTACCAAGATTATTTTTCTTCAGTTTTACGTTATTTTTAATATATTTTTTACGTAAGTAAATGTTTTTGTAATTTCCAATATTTTTACGTAATTTTACCAGGCGTGAGAAAAAAATTGAAAAGATGTACAATTGATTCCATGGTTATCGCCCTAAGGACATTTTTACGTAAAAAAGACAGAAATGTATATACATTTACGTTTCTTTAAACGTGAAAGCGTTCCAAGAGACGTCAACCATGGGATAAATATTACATGTTTTGTATTAATATTTACGGCTTTTTAAGTAAAAAAAAAGGTTAAAATTTATCTCTTTTTTGTAGGGGAAAAAATTCTTACTAGGGATGGTATCAACCAAATATAGTATCTAGTAATATGAAATCAGTTACGATGGGAGCCGCTCAAAAATTACACATTATACACCCTTTTACATGGGGGATTCTCCTAATTAAAATCGCAACAAATTGAAGTAGGCATTAGATTTGAATAAAGGAATAGAAGCCACAACCCCCCCCCCCCCCAAAAAAA